TGCGACCTAGATCCAGGTTTAGGACTTCAAGGGTAGAGATTTTCCCTGTAGCAGCAGTGCTCAGAGGAGAATGCAGTCAGTGTCATCTCTGAAAAGGAAAAAGAAGGACTTGGGGTGAGTGAATAAATACGTCTGTCATACCTGTCTTCTGTTCTTCATTGAACATTCTATGAGTATGTAGTAAAATTAATCCGCATCGTGAGCCAGTTTAACATTTTCAACCATGGAATGTTTTTGCTTATGTTATTTTGTTACCTTGGGATGTGTGGGCCCAGGCACAGTTGGTACTTGGGCCAGACTCTGTGGCAGCTCCGCTTGTGGCTGAGGACTCAGTATCTTCATAAGAGCTATCCCCACAAGTTTCTAACTTAATATTTTGAAGTACATCTTTAAGTCACAGTAGTAGTGAAACACCTTTTGACTAAATCCCTGATACCGGCATTTAAAATTTTTTTAATTCCATCACATTTTATGGAAACGTAAACATGAATGAGAATACTTTCTGCCATGATTCTGTAATGAGTTCACAGAGGTCAGAGATAAAATCTGAATGTCACATATCATTGAGAGGTTCGTCCTCTGACTGCAGCAGAACTGCACTGAGGAGCACAGGTGTTAGAAACTCCACTGTCTTTGTTTAGTCTAATTCAGAAGGACCAAAGCTTCCCCTCCATATTAGTAGTCCCACAAATAAGTTTTAAAATAAGAACCATGAATAATCTCTATCTTGACCATTTCTCTAAAAGCCATAGACCATCTCACTGGAAAAAGTCTCCTTGTCAGTTCTGTGTAAATAGCATCATCTAATTCTTTTGTATTTTTTAATCATCCATTTTGAGAATATTAAAATGACTTTTGATAAAAATGAAATGGAATCTGTTTTATATTTGGAATTTCAAAATGTTTGCCTATAAGGAATCTCAAAATTAGACGTGTTTGTTCTTTATCGTTCATGATAATTCCATCCCATAGAGAGCTCTTCTGTACAGGAAGTGAGCTGGGAAAGATGGCACTGGGGTCCGTGGAGGGGAGGTCTCACCTGCACCCGCTCTGCACTGGGCCCTTTAACCCTGTGCTGCATCCATCAACTGTGATGTGACAGTGACAGAATATTCCCAAGATTCTGAATGATTGTTGGGGTATGTGACATCTGTCCCTGGCAATGAAATGAAATATAGGAAATAGGCTTTCCCCAGCTGCATGGTTTCCAACTCAAAAAGCCCAGAATAACATTTTATTTACTTCTGTAGCTTAAAGAGGGAAGCAATGCTTTCAAGGGCCCTAAACAATATCTCCTAATAGTTAAGTTCTACGGTTTAGTGAAATGATCTGGGGAAATTATAATGAAAAAATAAAACATTTTAAGCTCTCTAAATGAGATATAAGCCTTTGAAAAACTTAACTTCCTAATAGAAAATATATAACATCCATAAGGAATATTTTTGATATCTTTGTACATTTTCTCTGTTTCCTGCAAAAGAATTGAATTGCTTTTTTTATTTATTCTGTAGCATATAAAGGTTTCAGAAACTCCTTATTTGCTTTATATAAATTTTATTAAACAGACAATTTCAAAGTTTTTCAGTGTTCCAGTCTCTCCAAGATAAAATAATTGCTTAGAAAAATTAAAGCTAATATTACACATAAAATCTTATCACACTAAATCCTTGTTTTAACATGGAACTTCAGGGCATCTTTGAAACATGATTTTATAAATTATATAAATATGTTTCAGACAAGTCCAGGACTACTGAAAATATAAGTGGATACTCTTTCAGTATTCAAAGCACATTCTAGCCATATCCACAGATTGAGAATAAGATGGAAAACTAACGTGGGCTTCCAGCCCCCTCTCCCACACTCCAAGAGATGCCTCAAAAGCAAAATGCAAACTGATGGGTCTGAGAAAACTCACATAGACCTGTGAGAAATGCCTGGGGAGACAGAAGATGGGTGGGTCTTGAGGAGGAGGATACTGGCAGAGCAGAGGAGAAGAGTCTTGGGTACCTTGCTGGGTAGGGCATTTTGGTTGTGCACTTGCCCCTGAGCTCTCTGTGGCCTTCCCTCCTGCCACTGTGGGGCAGGGAAGCAGAGCACAGTCAGCTGGCCAGTGCTCATGGGAGACATCAGTGCCAAGGGAGGAGCTCTCCAGGAGGCAGACGCGTCTGCCAGCCCTTGAACATCTGCTTCTACCCCACACCCCACCACAGCGGGGGCCAGGGGTTTTCATCCTGGGAAACAGCTCTTGGAAAGAAGAGTGCCAAGACCAAGTACAGAGTGCTTCTGAGAGGCAAGATGGGGGAGCAGGATGCCGGGTCAGCCCCACCCGGAATATGAGTTCACAGAGAAAAACAGGCAAGCGTGCAAGGAAATCCTGCGCTTCAAAAGAAGATCGCAAACCGAACAGCCTATACCAGAATAACAGAATACACAGAATAGAAAAATACAGAGCTTGCTTTTTAAAAAGGCATAATCTTTGGGCCGGCCCGGTGGCGCACTCGGTAGAGTGTGGTGCTTGGGAGTGTGGTGGCGCTCCCGCCAAGGGTTCGGATCCCATATAGAGACCGGTCCGCTCACTGATTGAGCGCGGTGCGGGCGCGACACCGAGGGTTGCGATCCCATTGCCGGTCACGAAAAAAGACAAAAAGGAAAAAATAAAAAATAAATAAAAAGGCATAATCTTCTCTGAGATATAAAAGGGTGAGCATTAGAGTTACTGGTAATGTGCTATATCAAGCGGGGGATGAGTGCAAGGGAACTCAGTTTACTCCCCTAATCTGATATGTATGTTATATATATTTAATATATAATTAATATTTTTTAAATTCTTTTATTCTAAAAGGAAAATCGGGTAGCTGTGTGGAAACTGCCAACTTGAAAGGAATTTGTTAACTTGAAGGAAAAAATAGTCTACAATAGAGTTCCTCAAACTTGAGTAATACACTGATCGGTTTTAAACAGCACAAAATTGTCACTAACAAACACCAAATGAAAAAGAAAAAAACTCACACTCCTAGGAATATGTTCTTGAACCCCCTGAACCCTAGTTTGAGAAACGCTAACTTAATTAGGTCATTTTAAAGCATATTTCAATTTTAAATTTACATAACAAAAGAACTATCATAACGTAGATTATGACAACAAAGAGGTTTCATCTTTATGACTATTAAGAAAAATTTTAGAGTATCATCGAAACGCAAATCTGAAAGTTAAAATTTTTTATAGAACTTCTGACTCCCAAGAAAATATTCACAGATCCCAGGATACATAAACCCTAGTTTGAGAAATGCCAAGAATTCTGAAAGAATTGCAGTTACAAGACCAAGTTACAACATGCCTTTTCAAGGAGAAAAAGTAATGGTTAATAAAACTGGCAACTTAAAATGAAATAATTATATTTTTATATATATGCACAAAAGCATATTTATATACAGTACTTGCTCTTTGGTAAGATGATATTGTCGATTCAGCTAAAACTAAGACATCCAGGAAGAACTGGTGTCATATAATATGAGTCTGCTAGAAACTAAATGGGAAACACAGAATTGGAAGGATATATACACATAAGACATCCACAGTGTGATGTCGTTGATGGAAAATGGAAGGAACTGTGGTATTACAAGGCATCGGTAAACATTTATTGAATCTCATTGAGTGATCCAGGTCTACACTGTGTTGTTACTAAATGTGCTGCGTCCTTCCTTCCGGTCATCCTGTCCTCAGCAGAGTTTCACATCAGTGCGTCAGGTCTTCATATGCTGTCCAGTGTGGCCAGCAGTGGTCTTCTTCTCCCATCTCCCCAAGGAACCGCTCACAAGACTGCCTGAGATGGCACCACACCCCACCTACCTTCCACATTTCCTTTCTGACTTTTTCTGCTTTCTTTTCCTCCACACTCCTGCACCCCAAGATTGTAGAGATTCCTCATTTCCACCCCAAACTGGCTTCTGCCAACTGCTTTCCCACTCAGAACAACATTGGACTTGGTGCCCTCCCCACTGCGCTGATCTTTCTCACGCTGTCTTACGTGCATGCATTTTATTGACCAAATATTCTGATTTTCTCTTCATTCATACGGAGATTTTTTCCATGTGAATGCAGTTTAGCTGTACTCTGCGCACATACGGTGGTTCCTCCTCACATTTGTCCTTGTTGAGTGCCTCAGTGCCAGGCCTGCGGAAGGCCGTGGTTGTTTGATGTGTTTTGGTGAACAGTTCTAGGTTACAGCTTATACCTCTTTATACCCCCAACTCCTAGCCGGCTTAGAAGAATGTCCATCACTTAGGAGGCACCCACTGAGTTTGTGAAAGCACTCAGCAGTGACAATGCTTACAGAATGTAATCCAGCTGAACTTTCTAGCTAGGTTCACACTAACAAAGAGAAGTGGAGAATTTAGATAATTATCTCTTCTTTCCTTTACTACTTTTCCCATACCCACCCTCCTACCTCCCCCACCCCTAAATCAAAGCACCTCTGTCCGTTTTATCAGAGATTTTAGGGAACATTTTAAAACTCATAAGGGCGTGAGTATCAGAATTTAACAGTTCTGGGTTTAATTCCAGCACTTGCTAGCTGTATGAACTTGAACAAGTTGAATAAACTTGCAAAGCCTTGGGTTTCTAGGCTGTAGAATAGGTGTAAGAACAGTACCTAACCTTAATTAAATGAGATAACACATGTAAATGTCTTGGCAGGTAGGTGCCTATTTCATAACACTAATTAGGAGAAAAAGAATAGCTATCACCACTGTTATAATGTTCTAAGCACATCACATATGCTAACTCATTCAGTCACCTACACAACCTGTGCAGTAGGTGCAGTAGTTAGGCCCGTTTCACAGAGGAGGAAACAGAAGAGAGGTTAAGTAACGGGTTCATGGTCACACAGCTAGTAAAGGCCCTTAATAAACACTGGTAATTAGTTTGTTACTAATTTAGTGGTGTAGCCCTTTACTTCTGCCATTGGTCTGTAGTGACTCACTGCTGCTGTTTTCTCACAGGTGACTATCCCGCACCAAGAGCTGTCCTCACAGGCCATGACCATGAAGTTGTCTGTGTTTCCGTCTGTGCAGAACTTGGACTTGTTATCAGTGGTGCTAAAGGTCAGAAGTCATTATTCACTTTAAATCTTTAGAAAATGTACCATTTTCTCCAGCTAACCATGATTTACAACGTACTTCTTCCAGGAGGCTCTCCAAGACAAATGTAAATGCAATCTCCATAGACATATGGTTCTTTGCAGGTGTTTAGTTTTGTTATTGATATTTACTAGTACTAATATAAAATATGTATAAAATTTTTTGTCGTATTTTGTGCCCACCAGCATTCTAACCAAAACACTGGTAAATTAAGCAGTACATCCATATGATGCAGCTATTAAAAGGACCTTCAAAAACAAGGGACAATATCCCTGATGCTTTAGGGGTGTTGGGGGTATCAGGTTACTCATCAGACTTGGCCTTGGCTCCACCTTCTTCTGCAGGTCCCTTTCTTTACAAGTCTGGGGACTGTGTAGAGAGGTTGGTGGAAAGGAAACAAGATTACTTGATTCTTTTGACTTTTTGTGGAAGAAATATTGCAGTTCGTGGAAGAGTCAAGAAACTCAGGTCCCAATTCTGACTCAGATGGGGATTCTCCCTGAAAAGGCTCTGAGGCTGGCAGGAGCCTGGCGTGTAGGAGCCTGAAAAAAGACGAACCAGCCAGTGCACAGCAAGCACGCGGCAGCATCGAGGAGACAGACAGGCCCACGACACAGGGATTTGTGATAGGTATTTTAATATAACTATAGTGGGAAACCACTGAAGTGATGCAATGATGAGATCTCGTTGTTAGACCTATTCTGGCTCTGTCACAGAGAATGGGTATAGTCCGAAGGCAGGGACCATGTTTTTTTCATCTTAGTATCTAAGAGTTAATATCCCCAAAATGGACCCATAGGATATTTTCAATTAATGTCTTTTACTTAAAAAAAGGTAATATGTCTAATATTATTCTATCCCATAAGGTTTTTTTAAAAAAGGAAAATAATTGATATATAGTAGGCATAGAGAAACATTAATTTTCCATAGATGGTGGGCGATATTAGAGGTGACGGCTATTTTTTTTTCTAACTTTCTATAGTGTATTCTATTACTTTAGATATCAAGGGGAAAAAATAGGTATAGCATTTTAATGTCACTTGTTTTGTAAAATATGTGTCTATTCAGATTAATTGGCTGAAAACTAAAAATGTAATTCATCCACAGTTTTGGTGGGGTTTTCTTGGGGGTAGAGGGGCAGGATATAATACCAAACTATTTTGACCAGTTATTTTTATGAATTTGACTAATGAGTTTACCTTATCAACATAATTCCTACAAGGGCAAGAAAAAAATTTTTTAAGTAATGGGCAAAATAAGTCACTCCCCACACTACTTTTACACTCTTGCCTCACTATTCACTATCACTTATGTAAAAGACAAAAAGTATTTCTGTAGTCTGAATTATTTGATTAATTTTCTAAATTTTGCTTTTACATTTTATGCATAAACTACAGAAAAAGATAAAACGTATTTGATAGTAATGTATTTATGA